TTGCGTTGGACAGGCTTGTAGGCACTCGAGTAACAAGGAGAATGTGAATCCCAGCTCCGAAGAGCCCTGAAACAGCACACGTACAGAGGGCGACTTGAGCGCACAGATCTCCTGATACTGAGTGTGATTGGTGGTGCTCACCATGTATGGTTGTTCTGGTGGCGATGCGATGATGCTGGAAGGTGAAGGTGGGACGCCCACGACCATCACCACGAACCGACCCAGTTGATAGAAGGGGGGACCGTTCTTGAACGCATCATAACGAGGCCGACGAGAGCTGGTACGCTCGACAAGCGGATGGAAGCAGATCTGGCAGAGGGCCAACAGCAAGAAGTCGGAGGCCATCGCCTCGCCTGAACAGCAGAGTCGCATCGTGTTTTGCATGATGAGGGGTAGTGAGTGACCACAATGGGTTTCTGTGAGGCTACGCACCCGAGTGCTAACTGACGGGATCATCGAAGGCAAATGAAGAGGTTGAATGAGCTAAGCCCGCAAGGCCACAGTGTTTACAAACGGCCGGGAGAGCAACTCGACGACAGCGAATCCCGGGCCCGCAAGCACACTCGCGAGGCGCTGCGATCGTCATGTAGCTGTGATACGAGTGATGACATACACGAATGCATATGACAGCTTCGTCAGGGAGGGTGCCAGGACTCCCACGCCTGAGAGGAAGACGCGCTGCACAGCAGCCGGTCCTGCATCCATGCGGCGTCAATACGCAAACGAATGGTCATTGGTGGGCTGGGCAATTCGGATGGCAAAGCGGAGGAAGTAGTTTTTGCCACTGTCTGTGGGTTGTCTCCTTCTGCAGCCGAGGTGCATCACTCAGCGGATGTGTTGATGTAAGATGGATCATATGTCATATTCATGCACCTTCCACACCCCTGCAGTCAATAATGGTGCTGTTCGGAGCCCAGCACATGAAGGGAGGGAATGCTACGGGTGGCATGAAATGACACACGGACAGTTCACACACCGAAGAAACATGACACTGAAGGACATTTCGCCTCGTTGCTGATGATATAGGAAAAGGCGATTGGAAGGGAGGCGTGAAGAAAAGCATGGAGGGAGAAAAACTGAGATAGAGG